CCGCTAATTGCGAGCGCTACAGCGTTCAGAGAAAACGAACAGCACAAGCGACCAAAGTAGACGTAATCACGATCGCCTAGAAACTACCCACAACCTCCAACTATCCAACATAAGCACCTTATGGCAAGTGCAGTGCTTCAACTTTAATTTGGGTTGGATGGTACTGTGTTCAGCTTACGGTCCACAGATCTTTCAATAAATACACGCCGAAAAATAAGAATGTAGCAGTCGTATCACGACATAGGCGCTCTGATGTTTTTTCAACGTGACTAAATGTCAACCCACTTCGGTGGCATATAGCGCAGGCCACTTAGATTGCTTTGTTCACAAGCACGCCATAACATTTTGTCACACCAGACCCCGATCAATCCCAGTCATACACCAGTGACTCTCCTGAAATCCGAACCTACCCGAGCACTGGTAGGTCGTCCTAACAGTGTCAACCCACCACCTTGATCATCTGATGTTCTTATTTGGAATTATAAAAGGGATCTCATTTAGTAAAGTATGTCCTCGAAGTTTTCGCTTCGTGCGGAAAATGCAAATTATGGTGAGCGACTAGTTGCAACTAACTGGACGCATACCAGTTACTATGTAAATATATGCTAAACCGCCATATCACACTCCATTTTATTGGTACGCTCATGATTTACTCTTTCTCTTCATTACTGTCATCCTACGGGACATGTCAAGCGTTAGCTACTTGACAAGTTATATACCTCTGTATTACTAGCTGCGATTATAGACCACGTGTTTACGGGCCGTCAGATAGCAAATTGAGTATTATCGACCTCGCGGAATTATGGACTTTGCAGTACAACTACGGTAGGAAGAAACTGAAGCGTTGCTCGCTTATATGCTGTGTAAGCCAATTACCTTTGTTGGAGAAGAGGCGGTGAAATGGACAGACAAAATGCCGAAGATGCGAACATACCACTAAAGTGGGTACGGGATATGAATTCAGTTGATGCGCCCAGACTTGTGTCAGTTTCTCTTACGTTCGGTCTGCAACAGTCCACCCATGCATGTGTGTACAGATAAGTCGATGCAAAATTCCGACAGCCCGGTCGCAGTTTCTCATTTGATTCAGGGACCATCGAATCGGTATACTGCATCCACCATGAGGGTAAGCGAGGTCTAGTGTAACAAAGCAGGGCCTACTCGCCTTGCAACAAAATGACCACAGTTGTATTTCGGCACTAGCCCTCTCAGCAGACCGCCGCTCAAGACGAGTCTCGGTAATCCAAGTCGGCCACCTTCCAACTTGTATTGCTGTTGCGCAGGCCCCTTTTGTCGCTCTACTCGTAAGCCTGTCACACAGACCCCGTCATACCCAGTCATGTAGCTGCAACTGCCTCGCTATTCGGATACAATACCGTCGTATGCCCGAGTGTTCATAGGTCGTCCAAAACCTTGGGTTGCGCCAGTGTCAAACTAGCAGTACGATAGCTAATTGGGTGTCGCATTATCATTTTATGTTGTGCCGTCCGCAAGGCATGCTTTATATGCAGGGTTGGAGGCATCCGGTTTCTGGTTTGCCTCTCACTGTGGTCAGACACAGGACGCATGTGCCTACAGATGGACGATGGATGGCTTGCGCTGCGCCACCCACAGCTGCAATGTCACACCCCATATCCAGTGTAAACCCGAAGGAACAAGACCGGGAGGCATGTGGATTGGAGCCACGTTTCATCAGCGCAGTCGTTCCCCACTCCTTCACAGACAAACACAATCATGCTTTATTTGGGAATCAAGCGCACACATGGCGGTGACTGTACCGTAGTCCGTTCCACACTGATTGTAGGGAACCACTCTTGGAGCCTACCACGTTCACAAGTACCTTGCACCACGTCCCATCCGGCAACGACCAACTGTCTCCTGGAAACAGTATGGACGAGGTAGTGGGTAATTGGCAGGTAGGCACCATGTCAACGTGCACATCAAGCGCAACTACACCGGGAATGCAAAACCACTGCTAATGATTTGAAATGATATTATCAAATAAAACATATCTGTTAAAGCATACTGCTATGCCTACCTAACTCTTCGCTAAATTAATATATGAAGTAAAATGGTTGGCAACTAATCCGCGATAAGTGCAAATTGTCCAGAAGTTATTTTAAAAATGCTACAAACACAACAAAGGTAATGAAGCAAACCACGATTAGAGTACGAAACATGGCCAGTTACTAGAAGATTATTCATTTAGACCGAACAAACCATAGAAAGTGGAATGAACTTCTTCCAGCTTATTAATAACAAGTTTATGTGTAAGTTGGTTTAGCCCAGCTACGATGAAGAAGCATGATGAAAGCAAAATCAGCCTCAGCAAAGTGGCCCACTTCCCCACACTTAACTATCCACCCAGTCACACCACCTGATTGGGCAACCTTGTGTATCTAAGCTGCGTTCGCATTTCATTCTTCACTCCGGTCTTCACCACGTGCCAAACATTTTCGATGGGACTACGAAACGGGCAGTATGGGCCCATTCTCATAGTGGTAACACCTTCGTATGCTTCGACTGACACAACTGCTTCCAAACCTGGGTGACATGGTGCATTGTCACACACTACGACCACCTGCCGGAGCGCCACTTCCGGCTTCAGCTTGTCTAAAATGTCTCGCAGCCATTCAAGAGATAGGGGCCAGTGAATCAGCCTCTCCGGGTAGTCATCGAAAAATTTTCATCCATTGTGAGTGCACCGATGATATGGCAATCCAGGCCTCTACTGTTGGCTACTTTGACACAGGTCCTCACTGTTCTGGGGGCCCGACCACTAGTACATTTGTAATAAAAGTTGATGTTTGTTTCGTCGAATCACATGAAGAACTTCCCATCCCTTTCAACTTCGAGAAACTTTTGAACGAAATCCTTTCGTATCGCTTTGGTTCGATCATTTTTCATTCCGTTTGGAGTCTGATAGATGTTCTTAATAGTCATCAAACGGCTATCCAGGTGTTCTGTGATTGTAGTCTTCAAAACGTTATTATCCATACCGGCACCTACTCTGACTCGCATTTCGTGTAGTGTTAGTTGCGTCCTTCTCAATTCAGTGCAGGATGTCATCAATCTCTTCCTGCGACAGAATTAGCTTACGACCGCGCGCTTGCGTAGTATCCGTCTTCTGATCAAGAGAACGACGAATCCAGGAGTAGGCAGTTTGCTATTCCACATTGTTCACTGTTGCCACTAGCTGCCAGTCGTCACAGTTGACGAAGGCATCCAGAACTCGGTCACGAATGTCTGACGAGGTATTCTGTCGAACAGGAGAAGGCATGTTGACCACGCTGGAATGAAAGACATCCATTCAGTCGTGCGCTTGTGTTCCGGCCATTCATTGCTCTCAGACAAATTGTGATCCTGGGTTTCGGACTTGAGGGGGGACTTAGTAGCTCGTGGCACTGCCCATGTCCATGGACTCGGTTCATTCGCAAGTTCCGCCTAATCAACGGGCATCGTGTTCAGTTCATGACTTACGCTCCAAACCTAGCACCTGGCCAAGGAGAACACACCTGAGGTCAGAAGATTGGCTCAGAGCGGCTGGCGAATCACACAGGGTTTTGCAAAATTGTGCACCTATTTTGCAACAGTTTGCACCTTCTTGGTAAAATTTTGCGCTCTCTGCAAAATTTTAGACGTTTTATGCAACTTTGCGGGAAATACCATAGCTTCAGATTAGGCACCGTTGCTGGAGGGAGACTAGAACGCCCACGCGTCCCCATCACACACCACCAACTCACACAATCATGCAACGGTTATTACATCTACCGTCCTTGACTGCTTTGGACTAGCTCAATTCCCAGGTCACTGCGGGTGTGGTGCATCGAAATCATACTGCATGCAATGCAACTGTGTTGAACATGATATTCAATTGGATTGCGGATGTAAATCAGAGCTTTAGGGAGCAATTCAATTTCACTGTGGAGGTAATCAATCAGGAAAATTTGTAGTCGGTTAGAATGCCACCGGAACTCTTTCGTTAAATCTCGGTCTTGCTGTCGTCTGTCTTCTCACGTTGACCGGATTCAAAACTCAACATGAAGAAGCATTACGTCACATGCTTTACTTGACATAAACCCAAATTATAGGACACGGCAAAAGGTAGTCAAACTGTATGCACAAACAAACCAAGTGGTGAGTTCACCGTTAAGCGTTGTATTTTTCTCGGATAAGTTACTTTTTTCCACCGGCTTTTACCGACGGGACTTGTTAAAATTGTAGGTTTCACGCACTCCTTTGTTAGTGGATAGCATGCTTAGATCGGACATATTGTTTGAATCCCGGACCCTGGCTGGAGAATCGACGTGGTCAAGCTGACAAGTAGATGCACTGGAGGGTTTCGATTGCAAAGGGAATCAATTGAACTTGTTTGGAATCGAATGTTTTCTCATTTCATATTTGTTACGCACTTAAAAATGCTACACATGTGGTCTTTTACTCAGAAACGAACCAGCACAACTTGACGCCTGAGATTACCATAAATACGACAGAAAAACGCAGTCTCCATGATTAATTAACTTTTTCAACTGTATACTCAACCTTCTATGATTTGATCCAGTTCAAAACTTAGAGAAGACAATTAACCTTAGGTGCTATCACTGGTAGATTAATGATTAAATTGTATCACGAATGCGCTCGATGCATGCCAACATGATATGCAAGCGGACGGGAGCAATCTAGAAATCTTTTATTTTGGATCTATGTAACACAAGGCACAGCAGATGTTCCTAGGACTCAAAAGGGTAAAATTATCAAAACAATGCAAACTTGAACTAAAGCTAGCGGTGTACTAAATTATTCTCAGTGAAAAGCTTGGTTTCATTTGGGGACTCATAAAGCATACCGTATGCATTCTAACACAACATTCTGTTAAAATTATTTCCAGTTGAGTTATTCCCACGAAGTGCATTTATTACGGCATGTCCTGTTACCGTACGTGTACCACTAGTTTACTAAAGTATCACAATTGAATAGTGATATTTCATTACACATTTCAGATTTCCTGAAACATGGTGCTCACCGGGGCGGGAGACTGTGCCACCTTTGGCAACTATGAAGGGGCTCTCATGTGCGGAATTCCTCCGAGACCAAGGATCAAGGTATGTTACCGTCCAGATAGTTTTCTGCATAACTCTAGTTCCTGTTCTCACAGAAGCTATCTCCATCTTTCAGAAAAACCTATGCGTCTAGTTCACATGTAAGTTTCCAGCTTTTTATGTATTAACTTAGTTGTGAAACAAAATGTGAGCAATTCACATGAAGGCGAGGTGCTGTGCTGTTCGTGTCTAGGCAGACGATATGTTGGTGGCCGTTACCGGCGTGTATCCATGAACATTTCGGTTCATTGTCTAAGTTCATCCTATTTTAGAGCATCCTTAATTGATACACGAAGAAAACCTTGCACCTACTGGTGCACATAGAATAAACTCGCACTATTTTGAAGAAATGCTTGCATATAGCTCATGCCGATGTTGCAAGGCCATGGTTGAAAGTACGCTAACTTGGTTTTGTGGTAACAGTGACGTATTTTGAAACTTATCAACTGCTCACCATATTTTTGTAAATAGATGACCAAGATAAGTTATGGTTCCAGTCATACACACTTAAAGCGTGCCTAATTGCTCTGGACCTTTAAACCGATATGTTTGTACGTCAGATAATAGCCGTCTTCTCGCGTACTACCCTATTGTATGGTAATAAGGAAAGAAATAATCTGGCAGAGCTGTACGCCGTAACGGCGATTCGCTGCCGCGCGACCACTACCAGTTGCACGTGCTCTGAGTATACCGCGAGGACACCTGCCCCTACGCGGATCTGAACTGGTGACCATATGATTGCAAGTCAGACGTTCAGAACACTCGGCCACCTGTGCGACGGACAAATCGACTGTACCACTGCGTTAAGGGTGGTGAAGATCATGATTATAGAATAGAATCAAACGAACGACTGCGATGGAAATGACTGCCAAAATGCAAGACAAACTAGCAGAATTACATTGGAAGAGGGGCATTCGTAGTTTACGGTGCAGGTGATTATGTGCTTCAGAGTACACATCTACACTTAAACCTGCTTATGCTGCCGAAGGCCAAACCTGGACCAACTGTTGGAGGGTTTCAATGTGACTATCTCCAAAATCTGCATTCCATGACCGATAGCTTTTTTCTGGTTTGGTCTAATCAGTTAGAGATGGCCGAACTTGGAGTGGGACTCGGCGCATAATGCTTGACTGCTATCGCCATGATCACTAGGCCATGCGCTCCGCGAGTTGTACTTGACACTGTGTTTTTACCAAAAGGCAACATTTGATTTTATGGCAGGTAATAGCTCTTCACCTAATCGTTGGGGTGCTCAACATTAAACTTAGGCACATGGTTCGACGCAGTGTGGATGATCATAAGATTGCTGAAAATACAAGACGAATACTTATCCGAGTTAATGTTTGATGCTTAACATGGGATGGGCTCATTCAGGTCGCCGTTCTTACCGTAGCGATTACAGTGCAATGTGATCGGTCATTGTCCGGATTCACAAGAAAGTTTTCCGCGAAGATTGTGCTAATTACCGCGTAATTTCGTTGATCTCTGTAACCCCTAATTGGTCCGTGTATGTTCAACTTCACCAGGCTTTCAGCGACTAGAGAAGGCGTTTACTTAGGGGAACAAGCGGATTTCCGTCCAGGTGGAGGTTGCATTGACCACATTTTCACACTACTCCAACTTATTTAACTTCGTCACGTGAACCGATGGTCAACTGTCGTTGTGTTCTTGGACGTCCCAGCAGCTTTTGATTCAGTACATAGCTCTGGAGCTGTCTACTAAGGAAAGGTGTGCCCGACAAGTTTATAACCATCCTGATGGATCTCTACAGTCACACCTCGGGTGAAGTCAGGGATTACGGTATACTTTCCACTTCGTTTACTGTCACCAGCTGCGTGCGTTAAGTTTGTTCCATCTCACCTTTCCTCTGCAATCTTCCCATTGAAGGTGTCGTCCAAAGAGCATTTGAGGGCGGCCAAAACCGCAGCATTGAGCTTCCTCCAGGTGACAGAGTCGCGGACTTGGACTACGATGATAATATCACTTTGCTCGGGGACGATCCACAAGCCTTCCAGAGCGCTCTGCACCGCTTAGCGATGGAGGCATCTAAATATGGTCAGTGCTTCACGCCAGACAAAGGTAAAATGCTACCCTGGGATTGGCAGATAACTTTGCCGGTATTCACCATTCCTGGTGACTTCCTGCACTTCTCGTGTCTAGGGAGCTAAATCACAGCTGCCTGCTGTATTAGATATGAGGTCTCAAAGCAGATCGTGACGACCCGCCTTACATTCAGCAGACTGACACTTACGGCTCCGTCGCGACATTAGTCTCAAACTCAAGGACAGGATATAAATTGCATCTGTCTGTGCGACCCTCTTCTATGGCTGTGAGACCTGGCAGACTCGTATGGAAGACAAAAAACAATTGTCAGTTTTCGACAATCCTTGTCTGCGTACTGTCGCTCGCGCGTGTTGACAGCATCAAGTGAGTAATGGAGAAGTCCAACAGCGATTGTTCGGAGCAAACAGCCCATGCCTCCAAACGGTTATTCTCCGACACCGCATGCATTGGCTCGGCCTTGTATTGTGCGTGCCAGATTATTACTTTCCCCGAGGAACGTTATGTGCACTCCCCGGAAGTGATTGGAATAGGTGCCGCGGTGGGCAATCATTGACGTGAAGAAGGTGCATGAAGAAGACAACCTCAAGCTTAACATCCATCGGACCTGTCCGCCTTCTAGAATAGGGACCACGCGATTCGGACTGCCAGTGGTTAAAAATGTTGGAGGTTACGACACGCAAAAGGCATCGGTGGATACAGTGCTGTTCAACCGCGTTAGCTATTAGTTAACGTTTCATCGAACATAAAACTACCAAACACAAACTATTTTAAAATGGCGTGGGTAAAATCGGGAAAAAAGTTCACCTCACATGTTATATTTCGATTCTCCCCTTTATTTTGCAATGGTTCAGATGGCACATTATTAGTACTCAGATTGTGAATAGATATATACCATATCTAGTGCTCGTTCGTGGTTGTGTGATATGGTTATCCATATTTCAGTAACTCTGTTTATCCTTTCAACAGAAGAACGTCATGTGTTTTAATCCTGAGATATTCTGTAGAAAAGCAAGTAGATAAGGGGCCATTTATGTGGCAGCTGTCAGCAGAGTACATTTACACATAACCCCAAAATAAATAGATTGCGCATTTTCGAGTAGACAGTATAAGAATGAAATAAAGAGTTGCCCATTCAGTAAATACCCCAGCGAGAACCGTTTTCTGTCGTTATATGGTTGGCGGCATCCGGTTTCTGGTTCGCCTGTCACTGTGGCCAGCAACAGGATGCTTGCGCCTACAGAGGGGCCATGAAGGGCTTGCGTTGCACTACCTACAGCTCCAACTTCATACCCCATATCCAGCGTAAACCGAAGTAATAAGACAGGGATGTATGTGAATGGGAACCACGTTTCATCAACGGAGTCAGCCCACACTCCTTCACAGGTAAACACAAGCACGATGTATTTGACAATCAATCGCACACAAGGCGGTGGCTGGATCATAGTCCGCTTCCCACTGATTGCCGGGAACCACTCTTGGAGTCTAGCTCGGCCACAAGGACCGTGCACCCTCCCAAGCAACGACCAGCTGTCTCCTGGAACCAGTATGGACGAGGTAGTGGGTAGGCACCTTGTCAACATGCGCATCAATCCCAGCCACACCGGGAATGTGCAACAACAGCCAATCCCTTGAGACGATGATATCAAATAATATAAATCGAATAGCGCATACAGATATGCTGATGCAACACTCTATTAAATGAGCATATGAAGTAAATTGGTTGCCAAAATATCCGCTATAGTTGCAAGACGTCAGGAAATAGATTTTAAGATAATGTCACAAAAGCCAAAAGCTAACTACAGTTAACTTGAGCGATGTGTGCAACTTAATAGCAGATAGTTCACGTAGCAGTTAGTGAAACAACATATATGAGACTATATACATATATATATATATTGTTACCCTAATAATCTTCTGTCTACCTACTCTTGACAAGGCTAGTTGTGATTACTTAGAGTGAAGGCCACTAAGTTTGAGACATTACTTAATCCGTATTGTATACCTTATTATATACCGTATTGTACACCGTAACTCACGCTAGTTTTAAAAGCAAATAAGGTATGGCACTTATTTTGTATTACGGATAGGCTTTCGAGTTTGTTAAACCAACCCAGGTTGTCTCGCACATGCACGCACATAAAGCATTTTGCAAAAGCTATTATCCCGTCAGTTTTTTACAAGCTCTTAAGGAAATTACAGAACATTTTGCACTAAGGTGCATTAGGTAACGAACTTCTGCGTCAAACATAGTTAAGTCCTCTCATGCATGTGCAGAACAGCCCTGTGATTGTCTGCTATCTTCCTAATTCACTGCCTGCTGAGCTCTGTCAGGGGAGCAAGTTACAAATGCGAAACGTTAAGGCAGATTTCAGTAGATCCCGGAATAGGCATGAATCATCAGTGAACATCCTAGCTCAGAGTACTTCATATCATTTGTGTTGAGCAAAACCCCAAAAATCCTTCCGATCAGATGTCGTTAGATCAATAGTATGCCAATGCAAACCAATATAAAATCCGCTATACAATAAATATGAAGCGCGCAAAGCAGAATGCGGTGATCCGTCGTACTAAGTGTACCAAAGAACTTCAGATGAACGGCAACTTTCACAACATTATCAACACTGGTTGGTAGGGAATTTGCCGTGCACGGCCGATTCCCACGAGATCCGAATGTAGCAGTAATATTCGACCTCTCCAATTATCTCATGGACGCTTTGAGAGATAGTCATCATAAGGTTGTGAAGGAGAGAACTGGGTGATGCTACGAGTACCGCAAGCATACTTGTTTAAAGCTTTTTCTTAATTTGTAACTTTGTCTCACCAATGTTCCGTTGAGGGGATAAGAAATTTGTTGGACTTGTCCTCATAAACTTTGTGCTCAGTGCCTATAGGCAAATCTCGTCTACATTGTGATAGTTGCGCGCATCTAAATATTTGAGTCGGTCAGTTTTATACATCACCTTAAAAGAGACGATGATCAGCTTAAACCAGGAGCCAGATATGGGATGGCAGTGCAATTTTTCAACTCAGTGGTGGC